TCACTACTTTTTAAATTATCGTGTTATCGAAGTCAAGAAACATAACTGCACCAATATATTATTCTTTATTTTCTTAGAAATACTTATTATCCAAACATGTTAACTTTACATTTATCATCTAGAAAAGAAAGTGTTTACATTAAATAGATTATAGAGTGTCTGGGTCAAGTCAAAGGTACTTATTGGTGTGATTTTATTTTATTTTTAATTGTCCAAGGAAGGAAAAACTAGAAAATGACCACTTTAGTATAAATACCACTACTTATGTATTACAGTATAAAAGAAAATTTTTTATGATTGAAATAAATAATAAAACATAAAATTTTAAACAATTTTTTTTTGTTTTGTAATTAAAATATGTTTACTACGCTGTAAATCCCGTGACTGAATACAAGCCCAATATTATGGCCCAACTACGTCTCTCTAAGAAAAGTTGGTGACAAAGTAAAGAGATATGGGAAAAATTCATATATCACGTATTAAGAGTGCACCAATTCAATTTTCTAGTGATGAAATTTAAAATTTCAAAAGTCGGGTGTTAGTTTAATATTTTAATTTTAAATAATAATATTATTAAATTAAATTAATTTACCCACGCGAACAAAATNNNCTACTCCATCGCACCTGTCCGTCGCCATTTTCTTGTACAATTGTTGGCATCCACTCTCACAGTTATCAACATCCAAATAACTTCTTCGGAAGAAATATTTCTATAGAGATCGTCGACAACTTCTTCAAAGACGACTAAGCATCGTCGGCTTAGGTAGTAGAGATAGAAGAAGAAACATAACGGTCGTTGGAGAACATTAATTGAGCATTGTCGACGAATGAGCATTGTTGATGTAATCTAAATCTATTTTTTAAAATTAGAAATAGAAAAACAACCCATGATGTAATTTATTGAGTACTCATTGTAGCAAATAACTTCAATTCTCACCATCGAAATCTAGTTAATTGAATTTGTGACCAATTTGGAGTACTAATGTCGAAGATATCAATGGCGTGTGAGCAAATCTCTTGAATTTTTTATCTGTGACCTATACACTTTGACATATGACTTGTGACCCTATGGACATTGATTTATAGCCAATTTTAATTGATCTATGACACGTGAACATTAATATGTGATAAATTAAATTGATTTATGATATATGGATATTGATATGTAACTAATTTTAATTACTCTGTGACCTACTCATAGTGACCTATGACATGAGGACATTGATCTATAACCCACACACAGTGATCATTGATCTGTGACTTATACAATATAACATGTGACCCGTGGAGTCTTACTTGCGACATACAAATATGATTTATGACTAGTTTTGTTTGATCTGTGACTTGGTACATGTGACATGTGACCTATCACTATTACTGGCACCACCAACAGATATCAACACAGCATTTGACATACACTCTATGAACATGTGACCACCACCAATATAAGTACCACCACCTCAAAATCACCACCCCAAAGTCACCAAAAACCACCACAAAAGACTTTAAAAACTACCTCAAGAATCACAACAAATCGCTGCAAAGCCATCACAAAAATTACCGAAAACTACCAAATAAACTGTCGCAAGCTACCACAAAATTGTCGTAGCAGCTATCTGAGCCATAATAAAAAAATTGGGAAAGTGAGATCTTAAAAATTGATATCTATTTCCAGCTTCTAGAGAGAGTAGAGGAGAAATTATAAAAAGAGTGAGTGTAGAGCCAAATTGGTAAATAGAGATATTAATTGAGAGAAGCAAGAGCGAGGATATGTTAGGTAGAGATGAAATTGGGATTAAATCTGAATCTGGGTGGGTTGGAGGATGGTGTGTAATTTAATTTTATAATATATTATCATTAATATTAAAATATAAAATTACCACCTGATTTTTGAATAGATGAACCTTCAACCTATTTTTTGTAGTGTGTTCTTTATAAAACCGTGCTAGTGTAATTACCACAAAAGATATTAGCTATTAAGCCCAAAATCAACCCAAATTAATAAGGCCCAAACCAACAAATATTCGGAGTAAAAAATTCACATATAAGAAAGGGAAAATTGCAGCCGAAGTACTAAACCTTTCGTTTATTAGCAAACTTTGGCCAAACCTTTGATTTGTGCCACCGTGAGTACCAAACTTTTAAAAAATATGCAGCTCGAGTCCAAAATAACTGTTTCCGTCTGTTTGACCCCAAAATCCGTCAGTTGACCCCAGAAATTAAAAATCTGATTATTTTTCCCAAATACAACAAGGGCAATTTGGATATATCACATTTTTCCTATTAAATTAAAAATTAAAAAAGCAAAAAGAAAAACCATAACCCCCCACGCTATCTCCTTCTTCCCCAATTGAATGATTACCCATGACCTTTACCAGTAAAATAACGGCACAATTGGATGATTACCCATGATCTTTCCATCACCAATTGAAGTTTGGATAGTCGAATTGAACAATTGGAGCAACCTAGAAACATCAAATTCCCTAAAACTGAAGTTATCGCACACAGCCCTAATTGCACCCTTGAATTCGCTCAATTTTGGACCAAATTGGACTTGACCCATGGCTGGGCAAGGTGCGCCAGGTGGAGAGGAGGTTAGCCATGGTGGTCTGCGATCATGGGTCTACCGGACGGCGCCGAAATCTGAGATTTTCGGACCCTGTTGCGCAGGCTACGCGATCGCGACCAGAGATTTTGTTGTTGTTAATTCCATGTGTTTTTGTACTATTTGGAATTGATTAGGACAATTGTTGGAGTTAGATTTGGGTGAGCAATCGACATGTATTGGGTTCCGATCAAGGAGATGACCGGAGGTGGTGATTCCGACAGTTTCATCAGTTGACTTTGTTGATTAATTGCGACTGAATCCACTGGTTTTATGGGGAGATGATCGGTGCTAATTGAAGAGGAGGTCAAGGGCTTTTCGATGGTACCAATATTCGGTGGTCTAGGTGGTCGGAAGTCATCGAAATTATGCTCCAACTGTGAGGGGTTGGGGAAGAAGGAGATGGGGTGGGAGGGTTATGGTTTTTCTTTTTGCTTTTTTAATTTTTAATTTAATAAGGAAAATGTGATATGTCCAAATTGCCCTTGCTGTATTTGGGAAAAATAATCAAATTTTTAATTTTTGGGGTCAACTGACGGATTTTGGGGTCAAACAGACGGAAACCGTCATTTTGGACTTGAGCTGCATATTTTTTAAAGGTTTGGTACTCACGGTGGCACAAATAAAAGGTTTGGGCAGAGTCTGCTAATAAACGAAAAGTTTGGTACTTCAGCTGCAATTTTCCCTATAAGAAATTAAGTATGTCGCATTTCAAAACTAAGAAACAATGTTTAAAATTTAGAATTCGGATTTTATTAAATTTTATCTATAAAATAATTACTTAAAACATATTTTATTAATTGAATATATTAAAGTCATAATATTATAGAATTTGGTCAGAAATTATCGAATTAATCAGTCAAAAAATAATTCTCAGTCACAATAGAAAAATTTTATAAGTCACAAATTATTTTACGATTATAAATCAAGAATTTTATTGGTCACAATTTATTTACCAATCACAAAATTTGAGAAATTAATATGTCACATATTATTCGTTGGTTACAAATTAGAAATTTTATAAGTCACAACATATTCGTGGTCACAAAATCTAATTAATTAGTCATAAATTATTTTTTAGTTACAACTCATCGAATTGTTGGTCACAACTTAATAATTTTTTAAGTTACACATTATTTATTAATTACAAATTATCTATTTTATTGGTTATATATTATTTAATGGTCACACATTAACCAATTTATTAATCACATTCAACCAAATAATTTGTGACCAACTCCATTGTCGCCACCACAACCGCCATTATTGCCGTCGCCACCACCTCACCAGCATCACCATTTGTGACCATGACCACCATTACAACATCATCAGAACCTTTACTTCACCGTCACAACTAGCGTCGTTGTCACCACCACCTCACCGCTAAAAATTCAGATCCAAAACTGCCAATACCCCATAATCGCCATCACCTCACCACCATCGTCACCACCTCCACCATTGTTGCCATCACCATTTTCAACCACCACCACAATCACCATTTCCATCCAACACTCTCCACAGACTTATCAACAAGAAACCATTACAGTCTCGACAAACCACCACGAAAGCCATTGGCAAACCACCAGTCTTATCAACAAACCACCATTTTCAACGCAACAACCAGAAAAAATTCAAGCAGATCTATGAGATTTGCTTCGCGTAGCGTCGTCACCACTGCACATGGTGCCTACGTCAACCACTATTAAAAAAAAAATAAATAAATAAAACGTACTAAGCAAAGAGGTCAGTAGCAAAGTCAGGATTTTCACATGGGGAGACTGGAATATGTTGAGGGGACAAAAATTTTCAAGTATTGAGTTTACATTAAAAAACACAAATTTATGGGGGGAAAAAATGTTGCAGGTGTGGTCACCATTCTATGTCCCCTAGAGCTCCGCATTACCTCCATTCAGTGGTAGAGTTGTCAACCAATAACTGATTGGTAAAAGTTGATAAAAATGAATTTTGAAGAAAATGAGTTTTTAGAAAATAGGGATCAAATAGGAGTAAATAAGTTGAGTTTTCAAGCAGCCTCTCTTAGGCAATCCCCTCCCCCCGAGGTAGCTGCTTGCCGACAGCACTGAGATTGATCTGTGGTTGACTTATTGGTTGGTGACTCCCACTGCATCTCCGTGGGCCAAAAAAGTGCATCACGTGATAACAAATGATTAGATTAAACCCTTGTTTGAGCCACATTATTATGAAAATGTATTTTTGAATACTTTATTAATGAAAAATGTGTGGTTAAAAAATAAGAAAAAATTTTAAATTTGTGTCTAATATTATTTTATTGAAGAATGTATGACATTGTTGAAAAATATATTTTTTTGAAAAAATGTGGCTCAAACAACGCATAAAACTTTACGCAGGACTGGCAAAAAATGGAACAAAAAAGTGAAGCTCCAAATATGATTATCTATTATGCATCAATTTCAGGCTCCAAACTGTTCTGCTGTAATATTAAAGGTTCATGACTAGATACATGTTTCATAATAATTGACAGGCAATAATGTGATACAAATAATTGTAATTGTCACAACTCACTACAACACAACATTCATTAAGCAGCACTTCTTTCTCAGAACTTTGAAACATCCCATTTTCAGTTTTAAGGGTGTGGAAGTAACAGCCGATAGTTCATATAAATCCAGCGTGCTTTGAGTATAAACATAGAGATTGAGTGAAAGGAGGGGTATACTGTCGTTGTAGTACACTTTTGATCATTCTGATCTTTGTCTAACTTTCTCATTATTGAACATGGGAAACAGCCAATGGTCACTGTGTTTCTTACTTCCATAGCATCGCCGGTAAAGCACCAATATTGCAGCTATAGTGCCAAGAGGAATCGCAAATCTGTCACAATAATATCACGTTTAAAACTCAACATAACATTTGGTAAGCAATATTGGACACGACATGGCAGTATTATGTGCAAGATTTCAATTTCTTTGACTTCTTTAATACTCTCCACTCTATGTTATCTTTTATGCCAAAGTAGTAATAAAATTTCTTCAAAAATTCAATCCTTATTTTCAACACCAATCCAGTTGTTCTTTCCTCTCGTCTCCTTTTCATTTTCTTTTATTCCTGACTTGAATGCTCTACGTGCATGTCTAATATGCAGTATTGGACAACTAGACGCTTCAACGCTACAAGTTCTTTTTCTTCTTAAAAATTGTCGGCCAGAGCCCACTTTACTAAACAAGCCATAAGTTAATATATTAAAGAAATGCAAATATTTCTGTGGCAGTACAATGTTCAAAAACAGCAGAAAGAAATGAAAATTGTCTTATTCCTGAAGCCGAAATCAGTAGTAGCAACATTTAATTTGCAGACCACATCGAAGAATACAGTAAATATGTTCATCTAAGAAACGAAAGATCATAGATGCTACCTGTCCAAATCAAGGATGGGGCTGTATACGAGGGTCTCCCAAGTTGCGACAATGACATGCCACACTGGGCTGTAATAAAGAGATTCCGGGGACCAAAACAAGCGTGTATATGTCTCTAAGAATATAAAAAGTGTCCATGCTCCCATCTCTATCAAAATAAACTTTATTACAAACCGACCCAGTATCACCATGACGAGTGAAAAGCCAACCAACCAACTAAAGAGTCTGTGATTATATTGTTCGATGAATAGAGATTTTGACTTCTCTAACATCTGCATTAACAAGATACATGTTTAAAAGAAAATACTCAGAAGAAGTGACAAGAAATTTAAGAAGACAAATGAAGACAACAAATAGCGCATAAACAAAAAATTCAATGGATTGTAGATATTTATTCTACAATACACTGGAAGAATATAAGCTCCAATACTTAAATTGAATCTTCATGAAGAGAAATTTTCTCAAATTTGTCACATAAGACAAAAATGAAATGATATATCCTTCATAAGCAAGCTTCGCTTCCATGTTGTCCAAAAATGTACTCCCATTTTATGCACAAACAATTTCTGCTGTTTATTATTGTTATTATTATTATTTCCTTATGTTTCAAGTCCCAGACTCTTGCTTCTGCTGTCCATCCTCTTCAGTCTAACATTCGAGTTAATTACGATTACCTTCAAATACATTTATGCACATCTTCTGTATTCATCTTAACTCAACATGGATTCACATGAACCTCCCTGAAATTCCTAATCGCTGAGAAAATGATTGATTTCAGCACAAGACATAAATGAAGAGATAAGAAAATTTCTAACCTTCGTCATTCTAAGCTCATAGCCAGTTTTAGAAGGGCCAACACATTCCCTTTCAAATCTTTGGTTGCAATGAAGAAATCCAGCATTAAATTTAGCCATAGATGGAAGTCTAAGGGCTTGAAGCTGGTCCATTTTGTCCTCGCAGTTTGTATATAAAGCCTCACAGAGTTTTGAAGATTGACATTCATTTGTCAATATGTAATTCTTGTATACCTGCACAGACATATCTATAAGCACGAAATCTAAGAATTACTGACGCCAAACTTTTAAGTTCAATTTCAAAACCTTCTCTATTTCTTTAACCAATTTCTCAGACGATCTTTTAGCATGGCGACGACCAAAATGTTGCTCATCAAAAACATTCAAGGCTGCGTCTTTGGAACGTTCATGAGCTTTCTGAAGAGAATCCTCGGATGCTGGTAAACCAAGGTTACCCATACGATCAATGTAAACTTTCAGACAGTAATCAAGAATACCCTTATTAAAGAACTCCACAAGGGAGCCTGTTGATGGAATCCTCCCTTTGTTTAGGGCTTCAAGAATCTGGAATGGAAGTTCGTAAAGTAAGAAAAGGAATCTTACTTCAAAATGAACAGGCACGTTGAATGTCAAAAGGATTTAATATAAACTGAAGTCAATATGGGTTTAAAAAAGAACCTGCTCCATAAAAGATACAAACTCCTTCCCAGTGAGAGGTTTACCCTGGACCATCTTTGGACGGATGATGGAAGCAACAATTTCTTTCAATCTCTCCCTCTTCTGTACGTAAATTGGATCTAGCTCATCGTCCTTCATGTCACAAAGCCTTGTGCGCTGGTGGTGAGGCTGCACAACAGTTCAAATTGTGCTATCAATTCAATGATACACACACATGTTTAATAATGTTGGCAAAAGCTTAATATAAAACAGATGCCATGAAGAAGTTTTACACATACCATTATATGTTTGCTCGCAGATGAAGAATAATGCAAAAATAATTGATGCTTTTGTTGCTCATAATTCATTATCAAAACATTTCAGAGAAAAGAACAATAAAGTTATTTTCCATAAAGCTGTTTCCCAAACCGAATAATTTTAACATATTCGTGCAAGATGTACCAAGCAACCAGGCTCTTTTTATTGCACAAAATGATAATAATTTGGGACGACCAACAAAGGAGAAGGATGAGTGATGTTTTAGCTCCCACTTTTCCCCACTAAGGCACACTCCAGTGGCATAGAAATTTGAAACCACTATATCTGCACTATTTAATGCAGTGATGACAAAACTGACAAGGATGAAACTGCACAGTGGTAATGATTTATGGATTTAAAACACATTTCACTCTTTTTTTAAAATCTAATTGAATATATTCCACTTTGCACATTTTTTATTCTTTGTTGCTGCCCATGGTAAATTGAATGTTATGCATGGCTCTCTTCTGTCCGGTTGAACTCCTGAGCAGGAGCTTTTGCACGACATCTATGAAAGCAACGGTCAGTGAAACGGTGGCGAACAGGAAGAGCGAGGACCACTCCATCGCTAGGAGGAAGCAAGCCTATTCCCCGCAGATGTCATTGCTCACTATTATGCCGATGTTAAGGAACTCAGTAGTTTGTTGATTTTGGAAGTAGGCAAAGGTTAAGCATTTAAACAGGAAACATAAAGATTTAGCAAGCGATTACAACAAAAAGTAAAAAGGTGACCTGAAATACTTCTTGATTCAGTATTGTTGAAGAATATTATCGAAATTTATTAATTCTCACTCCCAACAGATTATTATTTGAACCCACAAGTCAATTTGTCAGAGAAGCCATCCAATTACATGAACAATAATCCAACTACTTTTATTCAGTACCTAAACTGTTCAGAAACTCCCATCAGACCACATCAGTCAATGTAACATTAAGGCATCTTCTACCTCTCTAAACAATATCAGGCAACCCTTGGATGAAGAAACGGCAAACACAAAAATCCAAGTTAAAGAAGAATTTACTTTGAAATTTTCCTTATGATCTTCTTAATTTGTGTTATAATCATTTAGGATTAGGATTGTATAAGCACTTTGATTAGTTTGTTCAGCAGTTCGGGTAGCAATACAGTGGCCTTTTAACATGTCAACATTAAACAAAAAAAAAAAAGGGATTAGATTCCATAGGAATCAAGAACTTGGCAGACTCTGACAATGATGTTCATTTTCGCATTAACCAAGATGATGTTCATATTCACATTGACCAAAAATCATTCTCCCATTCTCAAAATAATTACTCGCAGAATAATAGTTAGCAGCAACTCAACCAAAGAAAGAGTCCCAGGATTCAAACTAAGAGAGCTAGTCCTCGCCAACTTATAGACGAGGCAAACCTTTTATTCATTAGGCTAACTCTTAGATTGAGATGTTGAAACCTCAAACAGCTGCTCCATTCGAGGATTTGTAAGTAGTTTCTACATGTTTCAGGAGATTTTATTCTGTGAGATTCTAGCATATAATTAGCTTAAGAAACTTCTAGAATTTGAACATAGCCTCATTTCTCAAAATATATTTCATCAACCGGCCACCATTTCATTGCAGGAAAGCCCTTGATCCAAAGAATACAGGATTCCTGCATCACTATTTCTCTCAAAATTAAAAGAAACGTGCAATAAGTTTACTAAATGTACTTTATATACCACTTAAAAGGTCCTAAAGCCAAGGTATCAACAATAGAATGTGCAATGAGTACTACAGAAAACATAATTAACTAGATAAATAAAGAAAAAGCAAAACATACCAGTGGTAAGCTAAAGGCAGTGTTGTTAGTTCCCATGATTGCTAAAGAATCGCGGACTTGGTTGACCTGAAAACAAAATCCACATGATATCATCTTGTATCAATATATTACTGGAATAACTCCGAAAACTTCAAACAGAAAAATACCTGATCAATATTCTTGTCCCCTGCTCGCAATAAACACCAAAAAAAAATTATTTCACCCTTCTAAAAGGATAAGTTCCCAAGTGAATATATGCAAGCAAAGTAAAACAAACCGTCAGCATTCGGGACATGTCGGAGAGCCTCGTCTATCATTTCTTGCACCGATTTTTTTCCTACTGCACGTGCTAAAAATGACTAAAATGAGCAAGAAATTCAAGAAATTGCAAAATGGAGCACTTGAGCAAACAAAAAGAGAATGGATAGAGGCCAAAAACAATGACCGGTGACACCGGAAAGAACTAAGTTTCTGTTGCAAGGGGAAAAAGGACGTAATTTATAACAATAAGTGCATATAACAAATAACATACCACTTTATGCCCATAGATCATTCTTAAACATCACAAGAAGACTTACGTAGAAAATCACGCTGGATTAGCCACAGGAGCTTCGCTGGTTCAAAAGCAACATCTTGCCCCTGTAGGAAACATCAACGGATAGCAAACATGATGCTAGAAAAATCTCATTTCTTTGTTTTTATTTACTTCTAGTATGCTAAGAATAGATAATATCCTGATAATATATTAAAAGGGTATAATGATTACCTTCACTCTGTTAAGGATGTACATGCAAGAAAAACAAACTAATATCAGTGGAAAAAACCCCCTGGGGATAAATGTAAATTAATTAACCCAAGTCAATAGCATTTGTGACACCGTAAGCCTACGATTTACTAACATACCTGCCATAAAATTCATCAGCAAGCTCAACTGCAAAGGATAGTCGAGATATGTCTGTTTCACGAACCTAAGCATAAAATGAAATTAACACATTATGATAAACTGAATCACACAAATACATATATATTGTTCTAGTATAGACCAAGAAAATGAACTAGAAGCATTCAAGCCTACTAAGATAACTCTGTTTTGAGAAAATTATAAAAGGACTAATGGCACTTAATTTCTACTTTAAGTTATTCAAGAATCGTATGTACATATCCATATTAAGTTACTAAACATAAGCCAGGGCTAATACATTGTGAGTACTACGAAAAGAATGTGCTGCACCAAATTTGACATATCAATAGTATGTTCAAAATATGTATTTTGAGTCCACACATCATTACACAACATTGGACAAGGATAGATGAGTGCTAAAGGGCGAAGCAACAAACCATCTCTGGTAGGTTATATATAAGCACGGAACTCAAGACAGAAGCCAAAGCAAAAATCCTGAAAGACAAGAGTAACCAAATATCATAAATATCCGTTGACAGCCAATTTTTACCTTTTAATATGAAGTTTTTAGCAGAAAAAGATAATTTTGTACTTCGGATATTACCTGTCATCATATACATTAGATTTCCCAACACCATCAAAACCCTCAGTATCAAGATAGAAGACGGAAGTTTTTACTCCATCTATATCCAATTCCAGTGGAGCTCCCCAAACCCATATTCCTGAGAAAGATATTTAAATAGTTGGAGCTATATCTAGAAATGGCAGGTTATATACGTCCTACGGACAAAAGCCATATCCCAGTTAAATCAGTATACCTTTTGTCTTAGTATCATGCATGTGCCCCACACCAAAACCTGTAAAATTGGAACTTTAAACCTCAGGAATAAGAAGAATAAAATAACAAGATAACATCTGCAATAACATTTTACATGCCTAAATAAATAAGCAGTACCTCCGTAACATGAAAGTGAGAGAAGTTGATTGAGTAGAAAAGATTTTCCCGATCGATATGGACCAATAACCTGGTAAGATGGACACAAATAAAGTGGAATCAAATGAAGAAAGCAAATTCATGGATAGAGCAACTCAGGCAGACAATATTTGCAATGTGAACTATAAAAGCTCATGACATGTGGTCAGAGACAGAAAAGCCACTGAAAACCACCAAAACGACTCAATCAAAAATAAAATAAAATATCTCGAAAATATATTGATTCTACTAATTCTTATATCTCATCATAAGCACATGTGAATATACTGATTCTGACATGCGTTAGGAATTAATTAAATAAGAAAATGCAAGTTGACATGTTCATGGAGATTAATCTACAACTTACAGCAACAGCTGCAATAGGAGTTGTTATTCTCTCAATTGCTTCCAAACCTTCTCTTGAAAGGCGGAGTTTTGTGTGACCAGGATCAGGTTCTATAATAGGAAACCTGCAATAATAACGAGTGGCATCAGAAAGACTGAAAAGGTAGGTTGTCTTGTCATCTCCAACTGAGATTGGGCCAGGGAGCATAAATCAGTTAGGTAGATTGCCTTGTGTATGTGTCTGCATAACCGAACAATCGGCTCATGTTTGAGCATGATGAATCGTAACAAAATGAAGGAGACAACATAGAGTAAATTATAGGAGGAATTGGTTTGATTTTAATTTATTATTATTATTTTTTTTTTTAGGAGGGAGAATCAGCCAGGAATTATCTAAAGCAGAGCTAGTGATCAAGATGAAAAGACGACAGCACATGGAGACATATCCCGTGTTGATTCAAAATAAGATACTTGTTCAAATGGATCTTGCTCAGTACGTGTAATTTAACCATAGACCTACTATTAATTAGCATATGTTTGTAAATTATTCTTGTAATTTTCACTTATGGGTAAGGAATGTGAATTCACTCCATAAGTAACAAGAGTTTGGGCGTCACATGAAACTTTAAAAAAATAAATTAAGAATGTGTTGGTGAATAAATGATACATCATATGCCCATATTAAATCACCAAAATAAAAGGCTAGCTCAAGAAACAGATATAAGAACTAGATTCTCATGTAATGTGTGGTTCCTCATGCAGTCGTCGTCAGAATTTCTTGCTAACTTTACTCAAGCAAATTGCTAAGGGCCAATTTCATATATATGTAGACATGTCTGGTTAATAATCAGAACAACTCCATTCTGTGTTTTGAAGTTCAATCAATAATTTGCAGTTTGCACCCGACAATACAATAATAGCAAATTTTTGCTCTTCATTTAGCAACAAGTCTAGAGGGCTCGACAACAAATATCTCTTATTCTCTTTCTTTATTTAGTTTATTGTCTGCAAATATATGTTTTTATTTCCAGACATTTGTAACACGTGTACGACCACCCATTTTTGGGATTTATTGGCCTGGTTTAAATATTTCTGCTCGGGAAGATCCAAAAAAACTTAGCATTATTTCCACATTACTCCATTCTAGGTTAGAAAACTAAATTTAACATGGTAAAAGATATTTTGTCCATCTCCAGAAAAATTCCCCCTTCTTCACTTACTTTATTGCTTAGGGACGCAACAAATTAGAGAAGTCCCCTTACTCAAACCTCTATCATCACAAGTCTAAGAATGCAAAATACAATTATGAATACCATATAGCACGTGAAGACAACTAGGAAACAGAACATTTGAAATAAACACGGCTGATAAACTTGAAAAATTAATCTAAAGCATAAGAACGCTTTTTTTCTTCTCTTCAAGATTCCAAGATAAGATTTTTTCACACCAGAAACGAAGAAAAACACAGTGCATCGCCAAGATTAAAGAAACCATAACGAACCCATATCAAGAAATTAGAAGCAAATGCACATGTTCACAAACAAAAACAATTAAAAATAAACAAAAACTTACGCCTGATTAAGATTGTCAATCGAAGAGCACCCAAATCCGAAGAGAAAGATAAAAATAGAAAAAACAGCGACCCGACTGGAACTCTGCATCTCTGATCTTCGAACCAGTCGTTATCTTGAAAAACTTGAAACCGTGGTACACTTATTATTACAGGCAAAAATACACGATTGTTATAGAAAAAGAAACCACCATTACAGAAGAAAATACACGAGAAATGCAGAAAGATTATTTAAAAAAAAGCTATGACTGAGTTGGTGGCCCTGTTCAAACAGGGACGCCATGTTTGAATAAGTGGCGGCCATGGCGTGTTGGAGGAGAACAGTCCTTATTAGCCGAGGTGGCGTGTTGGAGGAGAACAGTTGCAGCAGGTCAAGAAGGAAAAGAATTCGAGAAGATCTGGCTGCTAGTGACCATTTTTTAGCTATTTTTCCTTTTTATTTCTAATTCTATATGCACCCACTTGGCCATTTGCTTCTTGGATTGAGCTACCTGTAGAGAAGTTGCCTAGAAACTCATTGACGGATACTCGTGCATTTTGGAATATTTAATAAAAGATTCATGTTTAGAACATGACATATTGGGATAAATTGTGTGGAAATTTTATGGGGCCTGTGAGCCCCAGCTATCCTATATGTGCAGCTTTATAGCCTCTGGAATTCAATCGTAGTCATCCCTACATGTGAAGTCACTTAAAAGATTAGAATCATAAAAGGCATACCAACTTTTTCCAAACAAAGAGAGCAAAAATTCTCGATTCTTGTTTGTAAGTGATTATGTCTTGTTCGAGCCAAATTATTTTCATAAAAATATATTTTTTGAATAATGTATTGACAAAAAAATATAAAAAATAAGAAAAATTTTTAAATTTACTTATAGTATTATGTTATTGAAAAATGTCTAATTGAAATAATATCAAATTACTATTTAAAAATGTATTTTTTTCATAGAACGTGGTTCAAACGGGATTAGATTTTTTTGGTACCCATTTTCCTTAAACCTTGTCGTGTTATAGAGGGCATGCCTCCTTTTTTAGGGCAATATTTCTGCTTCTTTCCATCAACAATTTAGTATTAATCACCTTTAACTTCCGCGTATAATCTATGCGCATGAGCATGACTTTTTTCGTACAATATATATTTTACTTCTAATCAAATTATGTTTTCTTTTCAATAAAACCGAAACAACTAAAAATCTAACCTTGGTATGGAAAGTTGACTTGGATATGTCACCGACTATTTAATTTCGCTTTATTTAATAACGTTTATTAATAATTTAAATATTATACATTATATTATTATGCAGCCTATTTTGTGGAATTAAAATCAAAATTTTAATAAATTTTGATAACAATTGATTAAGTGTGTAATTGAAAAATTATGAGATCCCTAAAATGTGATTTAAATTAATTATTAATTTTAACTCAAATTAAAATTAATCTATACTGAACAGGACTATAATTTAACTAGGAAAATCATTTAAAAATATGATTAAATCATTTAAAATAAAAAGGGATTGAATTTACATATATCTTGACTCTTGAGCCATGTGAACAGACTTGTACGTCAAAATCACACTTGCCCTTGCCATTTTACGAGTAGCTTCCTTTTGCGTATGGCATCGCCAATATCACAAGTAACACAGAGTTTTGAAAACGTGTTAAAGTGAAATAATATTATTTAAAGGAGAAAAGGAAAAGGTCTAATGTCACTAAAGTAAACGTACCCTCATTTTAGGAACGCCACATAAATCCTTTATTTAAAAATCACATTTCAAATTAGCGAACTTCTAAAATTTTTCCAAAAATGAGGTGATAATTAAATTTATTAAATATTTAATTATAATATATTATAATTAATTCACTTACCCCACCCACCTATCACATCAAACCCTTTTCTTTCTCCGTCGACTCCACGCATCTCCAACGATTATTTCGGCAACAATTTACCTCTCGACTATGACTTTGACGACCGCTCCAACGACTATTTCGGTGACCGTTTACCTTTTGAGCGAGTCACCTTTTTCTTCATTTTTGGCAATGATTTGTGACTAGTTTCATTAAATTTGTAACATATGCACATTGTGATCTATGACCATTTCTATTGAATCTTGACCTAATCAGGGGTGATGAATATGCATACGATCAATTTCAAAATTAAGAAATAAAGTTTCAAATTTCAAAAATCAAATACTATTAAAGTTTTAGTTATAAAATAATTAATCAAAAAAATATTTTTATAATTAAATATTAAATTCACAAATAATTTTTTTCATTTTCTAAACAATAACCTGTGATCTGTGTATATTGTGACATATAAAATATGATTTTTGACCTATGACTCATAACATAAAATGCGACCTATAAATTTAATCCGTAACTTCTACAAGACGAGATGTGACTTTTTAATATTGATCTGTGACCCGTTTATATTGATTTGTGACTTAAAGTGACAGTTACCTGTGAACTCAAACCTGTAATCCGTAATGTATGAACTGTGATCTTATGTGTTGATGACAAAATTTGTTTTCAATGTGATTGTATGTTACCATGTTGATCCAATTTGTAACTATATGTAACCAAGTCAAATACTGTCACGGTTAACACAAATCTAGTCATAGAAAGTTATAATGAAGATAGATTTGATCACTTACCACCATTCTCAACACCGGCAACTAAATGTACACCACATAGCCATAACCACCAGCAACGGAACCATTGGCACTGCACCACCCAACCACCAATATAACCTAACAGCATCGCCACTGACGCCAACACCATGACCAAGACCATCGCCTCCAAATTCAACAAAAACTGCCACAACCACCATATCCACCGGTGTCTGAAATAAAAAGTGCATAATCAATTACGTGCAAATATTATTGTTGACCTCTAAAAATGACTCTTCCACGTGGCCAACTTGTAGCTACTCCACGTATTCCTCCCTACGAAATGAACAAACTATCAGGCGCACACGGCCGGAAC